CTATCAGCTTTTCCCTTATACCCAGTGCAGCCTAACCAGCAATGGTGAGAGCTATTAGAAGAAGAAGAATGAAATGTTGTTACCATATTATAAAAATGAATTTCGGACAATAAAAAAGGGCTTTGAAAATAAAACTCAGATATCAAATATTGTCTCGTAAAATTACTTATGGACTTATGATTGTTAAACAAACTATAATTGTTCGCTCTAAAGGAAGTGATAGGACAGTCGAGCAAATAATGGCTCAGATTATCATATTAACAGGAATTTACCTCCTGCCCCGAACAGGAGATAAATTGTCATTAATCTATTGCCAAGTGATTCCTTGGCAAAAGTTTCTAATCATAGTCCAACTAGAAATAATGAGCGCTAACTATTTAAGCTATTGTTGCAGTAAAATTGGAAAATTTAATTACATTAGGAATAAAAATAATCCTTACCTCTACGGTTCCACTCAATTGGTGAAGTGATTAAATAAGATTCTTCATTATGCAAGCTGTAACTCTTATCTGTTGGCTGTGATAGCCTTAAATGTCCTTTCACAAAATTCAAGAGATTTATGAACAGATATCCGTATAAATGGATTTCTTTCATATGCTGCGAATTTTCATGGAAATTTTTAATTTCAAGCGTAAGAATCGTTAAGTAAAAAGAAATAACGATAATCATAAAATTTGATGAACCACAAAATCAAAAAGACGAAATGAAGAAAAAGGAAGGAAATTAAGTAAACTTCAAATAACATAAAAATCAGGAAACAATAACCGCAACAGTAATAATAACCAACAAATTAACAATAAAGTGAAAATAAAGTTGTTCCGCTGAAGTCAAAGTGAATATTTAAAAATCGCTTAATTCCCAGGAAACTTCCCCAGAATTTTTTTAAAGGGCAATTTCAAGAGAATTTTTGGACGCCAGATATTCGGCAGGAGAATGATCAGATCTAAAAACTGATTGCTACAAAGTATTGATTCATTTTTCTGCATTTATGAATTTATTCGTTGCAGTAAGTGGGTAAGTGGTACTGTTGTTACAAGTCAAAATCCAATTCCTAAAAAATTCTTCTGGTTTAACTGCGACAAACATGATTTCCATATCTTTTAGACGTATTTTACACATATTTGTTCCAACGAATATTTGTTCTTGATTTGCTTATTATTTTATTCATAACCACATCTCATTCGTTTATTAATTTATAATTAGGCCTATGCGCCAAATTAAATTTACTCGAGTGGAATACAGACCTAAAAACTGATTGCTACAAAGTATTGATAATTTGTTATAATGAAATCGAATTAAGAAATAGCGGCCTCTGAATTTTAATAATGCAAACTAGAAACCATGTTTTCTTCAATATTTTTCGAAATAGCCAGTGCATTTCAAACTAAGCTAAATCAACTGGCTGTTATAAGGTACAGTTATAAAATTTCGCAGGGCACCAGCTAGTAGTAAAAGGTGGCTCCAACACAGGGAACTTAAATCGTCTAGTTGCTTGTAAGGCTACGATCTCGTTATAGATGATTCATGGTTTGTAGCGAATATGTTAAAATCATTAATGTTTATTAGATATTAAACTATCATTGTAAGAAAATAAGAAAAGGTAAAGTAAGACTACGTCTGCAGTGACAATGCCTCATTGAAATGCCAACAGATAACCAACCGCCCCTTTCCAGTCCGAAAAAAAAATCTAAAGTTTGCATATATTACAGGAATTCTAATTTTCCTTAATAATGATAACAATAATAATAAATAAAGTGAGAAAAATGCGAAAATAATCATAACTCGAGTAAAAAATTTTTCTTCTGTGTTTTAAATGAAACTATTTAAGCAGCGAATTTAGGGACTGAGAGGCAATTTTTCTCAATTTAGCAAAGATGCTTTGCCGATGAGATGACTGATTGAACGAGGACTTCACGAAGACATATATGCCGCTCTCACCGCTTGCCTTTTTCTTGGTTTATGGTTCTAATTCATGGGTGCAGTTTTTTGATATGTAATGTATTCCACTCGAGTAAATTTAATTTGGCGCATAGGCCTAATTATAAATAATAAACGAACGAATAAACGAATGAGATGTGGTTATGAATAAAATAATAAGCAAATGTGGGCAACAACACTAGTGGAATTTACAATTTTTTATTGTGAGTTACTCATTTCTGATTTGGCTAATTAGGCTGAAACTTCTTCGCTCGCGAGTCGCTTGGAATAAAAATAAGTTGAGGATTGTTATTTAAGAAATTTTGAAAAATAATACCATAATCATTACATTATAAAAATTTTATCATGATACATCGTTGAAAATTCGGAAAATTAATTAATAAGAAAATTGCTATGATTCAAATTTTTAGCATAACATATGTTATCATCCGAATTCCAACGAATTTTCTTGATAAATCACCGTAAATCGATTCATGAAGGATGAATATAAATGTTATGACTGGTTTTATGAATAAATGTCGCTAAATTAAAACCCTTCTTCGGCTGCATAAATATTATTAATATTATTAATATTAACCTATGTGTAGTTATCCAGGTGATTCGATGAAATGTTCAGTGGGTGCTTCTCGAAGATATACTTTCATTTTTTAACTTTTCTAATTCGTGAATTTCAACTATAATTTACAAGAGCACAATATAACAAATTCTAATCGAATAATTTACGAAAAATATTGAAGTTCATCCAAAAAAGAATTCAAGTTTATTTATTATTTATTTATTTACTTCATCAAGTTTATACTTCTGTTAGAAATGATAAAAGCAAATTACAGTGAAAATCATTGAATTTAGCGAATTTTATCATTATTATGAGGATTAGCAATATCACTTAAAGAAGTGAAGAAAGATGATTTCTGGTGTTTCATACAACAATATTGAAATCAATTTTGCAAACTGTAAATTCAAAAATTTTTGAAATTTCGGATTTGGACCATGGATTTGGAAAATTTTTTCGAAATTGGAATTTATGGAATTTGGAGTAACTTCTATTAACTGAATTGAAAGTTTTATGGTTATTGTTCTGTTTATCGTTTTTGAACTTTCTGCCTTCAACGAGCAAACCCGTCATTAAAAAATGCGGATGTTGCTAGTGATTCACCTATATTTCTAAGGAATCCTCTTGCAAAAGTTTTCAACCAGTACCAATAACCAGCCTAATAAGAATGCTATTTATTTTGTCGATAGAATTATAAATGTAGGTAAGATATTATATTTCTTGCACCTGAACAATTTATATACTTAAGAGATAGTAATTTTTTTCATTATTTAAAAATTTTATTACTATTTTATTACAAGTTTTATAATTTTAATTCTTATTAAAATTTTGTTAATCGCTAATAAAGAAATAAATCATTCATAAAATTTCGTAAGGCAAGTCGATTGGAGTAAAGTATCATGGTGTATTTAAAGCTCAAGGGGATTACTGGAAAACACATGAATTCCAGTGTTAGGTGGCTGAATGTGAAAAACCGAGGGCGTTCCAGCTTTTCATAATCTAACAACCCTCCCAGGAATTGCTAGATGGAACAGGTTGAAAATATCTTGTTCTTGTAGCTAGCGAAATTAGCACAATCAATAATAGTGGAAGCCGTTAAAAGAAGAAGAAGAACCTAATAATCTAATGGACAAGTGATAATAATTTTGATTTCACCGTTTTCCACTTTCATATTTTTTGTGGATAGTCGTTGTGGAAAATAATCGTCGTGAAATGGTCCTTGAAACCATATATTAGTTTTTCATCATTTTTTATTGTCAACTCGTTTAATATTGAACATTGCCATTTCGTTTCTTTACTGATAAATTTTATCGGCATTTTTCATGATTTTCATGATGTATTTATTCACCGTTTATTTTTATCATTTGTGTTTCGACTATAATCAACCAAAATAAAATACAAATACTTTGATATTTACGATTTACGATTTCGAAATACCTATTATCTCATACAACTTTCCTAGGGTAAAATATATTGCAATACTGATATGCACTAATTCTAAAATTAGCGAAATGAGGATTGGTGATTGGTGCATTATGCGAAATATTTTATCGAATTATCTGAGTAATACTGGGATACTGGTAATACTGGAAAGAATGTTGCAAAGGACTTAAGCCTTGTTAGCCTTTGTGCAAAGAAAATCTTTGCACTTTTTCTAATCCTAGGGACTCTAAGAAATCTTAAGTTCTTTCCTTCAACATTATTTATATGTGAAACTTTTTGTATTTCCTTTATTCGTCGTTTATTTGAGTTTTTTTTTTCGTAAAAAAATATTAAGGAACATTTTACTGCAAAAACTGAATTGAATATATATTGAATATATATATATATATATATATTTATTAAATGGAAATTTCTCGCCATCGTTTGTAATGGAATTTGCAATAGCAATATTGAGAAAAATTTGAATGGTTGTCTCGAGAAATGCGACAACCGACCGACCAATTGTCCGACCTCATATTTCACCTATTGAGATGATACTAAACAGTGTAAGCATTTTATTGATAAAAATTTTTGTATTGATAAGAAAGAATCGATGAAATGAAATCGATAAAATTAAATTGAATTTTATTCGAAGCTTTTTTGAAGTAATAGCGATAATAGAATTTTATCAGTTTCAGACTTCATGTTTTCCATTTTTCTTTGGTTCATTTTATTTTTTATTTAAAAATTTTTAGCGTCAGAAGTGAAATTTAAGTAAAAAGTGAATAAATGGCAATTATTCGGTATTTCCAATTACTTGTTCACTTTTAGCAAAACGATACACTAAAAAGGCACACGAGATATAAAAGTATATGAAGGTGCATCTGCAGCATTACTTAATATCAGAAAAACAAAATATCAGAAGAACAAAAATCCTGAATATATTTGGCATTAACTGTAGGTTTAATCCTCATTTATCTCCGAAATCGATTTTAGGAATTCTTTTAAGATTGTAAATGATTGGGACCATTGACAGCGATTAATTACATTACAGGAGACGAATATTGTTGATCTGATATGAAATAGGATGGATGAATTTATTAACCTTCAGCTGTTCCTTGCTCTAACGATGTTTTTGACGACAATAATTGCAGGTTTAGCGCCTATAAAGGTATTATAAAAAATTTCAAATTTATATTTTTCGAGGATTTCATCGATAAAAATTTCTAAGAACAAAGCCACGATTCCATGAATATTTATTTAGAAAAAGGAGCTAAGTGGATTAAAAATATTTAAATTTAAAAAACAAAAAAGCAGGACAAGAAAAGCCACCATATTCTTACGCATGCATTTGAAGCAATCCCTAAAGAAAAACACTCTATGTATAAAGGCATCCAAAGGAAAATAAAGTAAAATAAAATAAAATATGAATATACTTTTAAAATATTTTTATTATGACCATTAAAATCGTTTCTTCCGCGAAAGCCGAGTCAATATAAAACTTTAAACTTATTTTAGCTATTAACTTCTATTAAAAGGAATAAAGAAGGAAATAAGACATCGAGCTTTTTGTCACTTCTATCATGTTTCGCTGGAGGAGTTTTCCTTGCTACTTGTTTTCTCGATCTTCAACCTCATGTGAAGTATGTAAATATTTATTTGCTCATTCGCCAAGCAGAATGATTAGATCATTTGCTTGTTCTGAAAAGGTAAAATTTAAAAACGATTGAAGCAATATCAGTGTGAAAAGAAAAGTATTCGAAAAAACGCTAATTTATGGATTTTTGGCTATATTGGTTGTATGATGCATATTTTACGTAATTCTATATTTTTTTTGCTATTTTCTATTTACTGCCAATAAATGACCATTTTGCGGTTAGATTCCGTTAAGTGCGCTCGGAATATTTGGCAGAGTCACTTAGCAATAAAAATACAGATTACCTAGCATCCAAATTTTGCAATGACAGGTTTATTCCTGTTGTGGACCGAATCCTCTCAACACGATAATTTGAACCACTATTCACTCAGCAATCCTACTGAATAAAAATATTCAGTCAATTTTCACGCAGTAAATCCACGATGTGGAATCTTCATAAGGTTTGACCACCACTTTTTTTATAAATTTTCCAATTTACTGATATAGAGGAATAGGACATTTGACAAAAGAAAATTTTCAGCATGAAATTTCGCAAATTTAACGAGCAATGGAATTTAAAAATCAAATATCCATTACCAGATCTTTTGGTATGCATCGGATTTTTTGCTGTTTATTTACTTGAAGAAATATTTGTTCGCCTCTTCTCGACGATAAACAACACGTATTTATTTTATTTTCATAGCCGAATAAAATTATTCGAAGCTTTTTCTGAAAATAGGCCTTCGAATTATTTCTACTTCTAGTTTGAAATTAGATGAGGTCTTGCACTGATTGCACTGATCCCAAAAAATTTGAATGAAGGAATGATAACTGTGTTGAAGATTCCTGATCTGCCTGAGGCTCAAATGATCGATAGGAGGTGCAAAACCTTTCACCAGAGAACCAACTGGAAATAGAAGTACCATTTCCACCTTCAATGGAAGATTCACTCTGATCAAAAAATAGAAATCGGACCTACAGAACCTAATCTCATAAAACCATTTGCTTTACACCTGGACGAATCATAACAAAGCATACCACTCGATCACTACTCTATCACTGTTCCAAAATCTTTATTAAATTAGATCACTGTTTTTTTCTTTCAATTTCAAACTTGAAAATTATCCGATAGCAATTATAGCAATTTTTAGAGTTAAAATAGACAAAAAAGATATGGTCGGAGAATGTGACACAATCAGGAAATCCACTGAATGTGAACAAATATTGACCACATCAGATAAATTTACCGAAAAGTATGCAAATTAAGGATCTAAAATCCAAACAGATTTGTTTATATTTGTTTATATATTGTTTATATATTTCCAAATTGATTCAAAATTTATCCTAATACATGATATTTTATTAGAAAATCAAATGAAATCTACCCAAATTAATTTTTTAGAAATATATTTCAAGCGAGTGTGCCCATGAATAGTGCAATATAAAGTTAACTGATTTCCGTTAGTCCATTTTCCGAATTCACCACATTTTACTTCATTTAGCGGGGGATCGAGTGAACAAATAAAATCGAAACGATGCTCCTTGGAAATTAATAAAGGAAAAGAAGTGGGAATCTTGCAATCAATTACATTTACAGTAGCGATGTCGTTTCATTCTATTCTCGAAGGTATAGCGCTTGGTGTTCAGGTAAATCAATCTATCTAATCTGATTGATTTAAAATCAATCAATAAATCTATAAATCTAATCTGATCAAATTAAAACAATCAGTTCAAGTAATTGAGCCGCTATCTCACTCAATTTTGTCTCACGATTTGGCAAATATAAAATCTTATAATCCCATATGATAATTGGTATTCCTCTTGTAACGCCCTATTATTTAAGCATAAAACGATGGAAATTTAAAAAAAGCGGTTATCACTATTTATTTAGGTTCACTCCGCTGGCGTTACGTTATTTGCCAGATAGTCATTTAGCGTAAAAGTATAGAAGTCGTCAGTAACATCTTGGTGATAGATTTACTTCTATCGAGAATCGAAAGACAGAGGACCCAAGCCTGTCAACACGATAAGCTATTATCCAGTCGGCTACCTTGACCTTAAGCATAAAACGATGTCTAAGAAACATTTAACATATTTCACGATGTCTGAAGAATTCTACTTTATTCTACTTCAGGATGATAAAGCTGGAATATTAACTTTATTCTTTTCATTGTTTATCCACAAAGGAATCGAATCGTTCACTGTTGGACTACAAATATCGAAATCCAATCCTGAAAAAATAAAAATGGTCACCATTATTGCAATAATCTATTCTTTCATGACACCAATGGGATCTCTAGCAGGTGTTTTCATAAGGGTAATTTATTGCTTTTCCCAAACGTAAAATTCACTCCAATCTATTGAATGCTGCCGAAATGTTAGTCGAATGTCGACTTATTTCCAAATCTTCAAATTAAATTTCATTATAATTAAAAATTATTATTAAAAACCATTATTCAAAATCAAAAAAATAATCAACTCGGTTTTACTATTTCTAATAGCTCGCATCATTACGGGTTAGGCTACATGAAGGAAAATGGCTGTAATCATATGAGATTTTAACCACTCGATGAACATTTAAAATGTCTAAACAACTGATAAAAACAGATAGCTTCATAATATCCTCCATCTCTGCAATTATATAATAAAATGAATGCTGTGAAATACATGCAGACAGATGCAAATGTTTGTTTTGATGGAGATTTCGCGATGATTGCACAAAGGTTTCCCATTTCATTTCCCTTGGCCACTTGGTATAAGAATGGATTCGAAAAATTCAAGTTATGAGGATCCCAGAAAATTTGCCACAACCTGGGATGTATTAATACAAATAGTTTCTTTTATAAAGGACGAAAAGATTTCGTTTTATTTATATTTATCATGAATCCAACCTTCGCTGCAGTAGCCGACACATTGTTTAACATCATTTGCATTTCATTATAACTATCAGCAAAAAGGACTTCATCATCATCATCATCAGCTCATCAAGATCTGCTATGCCATGCTGTGGACTGATTTGTATATTTCTTGAATGTCAATAAGCGATGTCCATTATCCAGTTTCGCTTAATTAAATATTGTAAGGAGAAGAAGGCTACCTTGGCGAACCTAGTTCTTATTTTGAATCTGTCAGTTCCCATAAAGGTCTGCGCCAATATGAGCTGGTAAAATGCCTTTATGAGTTAAATGATCTTCTCTAGAATAATATTATGTTCAATCACTCTTCAAAGTACTTCTCTATTAATCGAATCAAAATAGCCGCAAAATCGTTGACGGTTGCCAGTATTTGAAGTAATGTTTCAACAACCTTGACATGAATATTTGGTCAGCCGCGCGCAAGTCTGAATCCTTAATTAGGGCGTATCTTGTTGTCTCGTACTACCATAATTAAGTAGAAGAATGATGAAAATTTTCCAAATGTCTAATAGACTGATTCCTCGATAATTGTTGCATATATCTCGTTTTCTTTTTTGAAAACTACAAGAAGGATTGCTTTGCTCCAGTTATCTGGTACTATTTTTTTCACCCACACCAGAAAGTACATTTATTGAAGACGTAATATGAAGAACGATAAAAATTTGAAAAGTTTGGCTCGAAGATCATCTTCTTCGGGCGCTTTATTTATTGGCCGTAAGCTTCTGGATAACAGATTATTTCCAGTTCTGTTATCCGTTAAGTTCGCCCTCAAAGCATTTCTTCCATCTTATGAGGCCATCCTTGATAGTCTTAACATCCAAACCATTACTATCCCATATCATTTCACTGATCGTTCCCCGACTAATAGCCTAATATCGCCTAATCGAGCCGTCATCATCATTCTCAAGACCATATCGCTTCAGTAACGATTTTTCACTCGCCATGATGTCTTTTCGGATAATTGTTTGCATTTCTTACTAGCATATTTTCGTATGAAAGTGGCTGAATTTTGGAGACATACTTTTATTCGGTACCATCTGCCGGAGATGTCAGTGATTTACTGAGATGCTTCAATAATCCAGTCTGAAAGATCTTACTGCCCTCGAACCTTTTAATTGAAAGATCTTAAGAGATTATTTCTTGCGAGTTATCAGTTTAATGTGGATCTTAGCTCGAACCATACATGGCCTGATCCATGATGATCAATTGTTTCATATCACGATAGGAATGGCTACGTTCCAACGATTACTGATTAAAACATAATTGATTAAAATATAATCGAGTTGAACTCTTGGTTTTTCGGAAAGTCCCAAATTTGATTAGATACTTTCTACGGAGGAAAAGCAGCAAGCATGTATGCAAAAAGAAAAACAAAAAAGAGTTCTCCATTGGTACACCAGACGCATTAATTGCCAACCACCGAGTTTATCACGGCCGCATCGTAATCTACGAGTAAATTCCAGTCTCCTTCGGAAATGACTATGTCACTTTTCTGTAGAGATGCTGATAATGGCTTCAAATAGAATTTATCTTCATATTGCAGAACTTTCCTCTGAAGTGGATATAGGTCATATGGTCGTTTACTGGTTTCCACTTAATCAGAGCGGATCGAGCTTTTTCAGACATGACAATCGCTACGCCATACCCGAAACACCAGAATGGTATAATAGATACATCTGATTGGGTTCAAATTTAGGAATTGCATGGGACCCGAAGTGAAGAAGGTATTCCATACTACTGGAGCTGGTCACGCCCTTTCGGATATGGCAATTGAGACTCCATTTCGAATTTGCCGAAACACCACTGTAATATAGCTAGTTGTTCTTAATCGAACTAGGTATAATCAGTACTTTGAACACAGAATTAGGAAAGCAAACTTGCGATACCTACACGATATCTGAATAAGGTGTGTGGTATAAGGTATGGATGATTACCTGCCTCCCAATATCCACAAGCATTCTGATGACCAAGATTTGTATACAGAGCCGAGTGACAATGATCTAAATGGCATAAGGCAGTT